AATCTTATGTTTGTTATGCATACAGCTAATGACAAGAAAATATTTAAATTTTTTATAAATAATTTTCTTTTCAATATTGTACTAAAATGTATTTTTTAACAAAAATCATACATACAAAGTTCATTAAACACATGATAATAGTTAAAACATACATATATTGCTTGCATAATTAACAATCATTAAACACATGGTAATAGTCAAAACATACATATATTGCTTGCCTAATTAACAATCATTAAACACAGGGTAATAGTTAAAACATACATATATTGCTTGCCTAATTAACAATCATTAAACACAGGGTAATAGTTAAAACATACATATATTGCTTGCCTAATTAACAATCATTAAACACATGATAATAGTCAAACATACATATATTGCTTGCCTAATTAACAATCATTAAACACATGATAATAGTCAAAACATACATATATTGCTTGCATAATTAACAATCATTAAACACATGGTAATAGTCAAAACATACATATATTGCTTGCCTAATTAACAATCATTAAACACAGGGTAATAGTCAAAACATACATATATTGCTTGCCTAATTAACAATCATTAAACACAGGGTAATAGTTAAAACATACATACATTGCTTGCCTAATTAACAATCATTAAACACATGGTAATAGTTAAAACATACATATATTGCTTGCCTAATTAACAATCATTAAACACATGGTAATAGTTAAGACATACATATATTGCTTGCCTAATTAACAATCATTAAACACATGGTAATAGTTAAAACATACATATATTGCTTGCCTAATTAACAATCATTAAACACATGGTAATAGTTAAAACATACATATATTGCTTGCCTAATTCAAGAATACTACAAAAATAAGTAATACAATATGAGAAAACTAATAAACAAAATAAAAATACTCATAACACTAAATGGAATTCTAATGCATTAAAAAACAGAATAGCAAAAAAAATTTGTTTTTACAAATAAAAATATGATATCCAATGCTTATTGTATTTAACTGAATATCAAAATCAAATAAAACAAAGATTAATACATGGTATTTATAAAGAAAAGTTTTATACACAGATTGGAAATCATGGATGAATAAAAATACATGTATGTAACAATACAAATAAAATATTTCAAACACAAATAATCAAATGATGAAAAAAATCATCAAATGTCACAATTTAATCTCATGTTCATATTTAGCAATGTTCCTGTCTGAAAAACGTGAATGTATATAAAATACTAAAGTGAAAAAAAAAGTAACTTTGGGCTTCAACAATATGAAACATAGTACTATATATCCATCTTAAACTAACTGCTGAAATAAAAACTAACATTACAAGTCTTCATAATTACCAGTGTGAGCAACACATTCATCCCATCCTGGGTTCCTCCACACTTCTTCTCTCACTTCCTTTCGTACTTGTAGATCTTTATAACCTAATTATAAAATAAACAATTTAGCAAAATTAACGCTTTTCTATAAACCATTAGTTAATAAAAATTCCACACTTACAAAAATGCACAATATCTTCCCATAAATAAGAAACTTAAATGTAGATAAAACTACATATGGCACAGAAATAAGAAATGTCAATATATTTAACGTTCTTTTAATGAGATGGCTGTTACAAATCTGATACAGATCATAACTATAAACCTTCATTGGTAAAGTTTTAACAGCACATCACAACAACAACTAAGTTTCAATCCTATTAAAGGATAAGTTGTGTTAATATGTCTGTTAAAAACAGATACATTGAATGTTTATTAAATACGTACTTTAAATGCTTAAGATTTTACATAAACTTATCACAAGAAAATTATTTTAAAAGTTGTTCCATCTAACACAATCTTGTTAACCCTACGTGCATGAGTAGGGTCAAGGTGAGAATGTTGTGATGTTTTACATAATTACATTCAAATTCAAATAACAAACATGATTATCAATATATGTCAATAAACATGGCATAAAACATTTCATAATTAAAATATGATATTAATTAAGTTTTATTTTCTTAATTCAAAATGAAATATTTCAAACAAATTTTGCAATATTATAATGTCACATGCAAGTCTACTCTCTGAATTACCCATTTCAAAATGTTCCTTCTACACGCTAAAATAATCTTCTGAGTCTGATGTAGCATAAACTTGTAGTATAGAGCTTGCCAGACATTATGTATATGCCATCAAGTTCTTTCTTCCCATGGACCAATGCACATCGAGCAGTGAAAGTAATTATTTTAGGTAAAATATAGCATAACTAAACAGCCTAATGATTTATAATTATTATATGGCATTATCTTCTTTCAAGATATTATTTCTTGTTCTAAATTGCAAATTTGAATTTTACAAAAAAACTTCCTGAAACACACTGTACCACTGACTCAGAAAAACTTTTGATATCATTTAAGAGGTCCTAAAATTTATGAAAGCTCTAAAATGAAGTATTTTTATTCTTAATATGAAAATCACCTTGTACTCAAACTAACTCTGTAAATACAAATCTCTAGTAGAAATACTTTATTAGAAATTCTGCTTTTTGTATACAACATGCTTGTAATAGTTACTGAAAGCTTGCTATATTTCGTGATGATACACTTGGTCTTTTCAAATTTATAGTATTTACTGTTTTATGGTTGCATGGTGGTTACAAGTTTAGTCAAAATGTCTGATCCAATGTAGAAGTAGGTAACAGAACTATAGAGGATATTAACATGGTTCTCGTACTTTTCATGCACTTTATGTGTGTATCTTAAGGTTTTTCAAGGACACGCCATTTCAACAGTAGATATCTGGTCATCTAAATTTAAACAAAATACAAAAATAAACCTATGCCTTGAAAAAAATAATTGAAACTAGCCAACTACCAAATCTCAGATTGTAATTACTCAACAAGAGGAACTTCGTGACTATATGAATAGTACTACATATATATGAATTTAATTAACTCGTTGATCAATCACTAATTAGATCAGTTAAGATTTAAAAAATAATTATTTGGTATAGAGAAAATCAAAATGAGTGTAGCTGTGTGCATGTGACTATACTGATAATTTGAGGCTAAGTCAGTTAGGGAAACCTCACCCTTGAAACTTTCCCCACTCATGAAATTAATATTCATTTCAACAACAGGAAAGGTATTCCTCTCCATTCCACTTCATATCAAGCACTGCCAGCTATATCAAAATTTTCATCTTTAATATGCTGTCAGAAATCTAAAATGTAATTGTGCGTATAAATGTTCCAAACAAAATAAATGGTTTTTGAGTTCTTGGAGCTCTATAAGTCGAAAATATATTTACTACACGTGTCTAAAATCTAATGCTCATCAATTCAACACAAAAGACCAATTTCAACGATCCAAACAACAAAAACCTTGATATGAAACAGGCTAACTGGTATTGAAAGCAGCATCAGTCAAACACCAAGATGTACATGGGCTAGCACACCATGCCTTATGTTAATGTAAAATGTAGTTAAGGCATATTGCTTCCAAGCACTTTTAATTAATTCACATACCTGAAGGCTGACTAACCAACCAATCATAGAAAATTGTTGCATCTTTTCAAAACCAATGTCACTATGTCATAGTGAAACTAACAAATGAAGGACATACACAACAGTGAAGGACATAACAAAATCATGTATCTATCCTATCCTGACATCATTTATAGGCATCCGATTAAACAGTGAATATGCAAGTAAAAATTGGTTTTATATTTAAACTTATTATTAGTTTTCCAACAGCCCTTGACATGTTAGTCACATAATGATTATTATAACATATACAATTCATGCAATAATTAACTAGTTACACATTCTGGGCTCTTAAGTTTTTTAAAATTCCCAGTTGTTATTGGGCAAACAACCAAGTAAAAACTATGTAGACTTTGCTCAGGATACACTTACCTAAATTCATCTTTTATGAGTGCCTTTAGTCAGATGATTCATCAACAAAACCAATGCCACATTATATCTTTGACTTGGTAAGAAATAGATTTACCAACCTTATGATAAAACAAGAGGTTGTTTATAAACAAAATCATGTATCAAGCGTAACATATATTGAAAAATAAAAAAGCTACCTGTGATATTTCACTCCATAAACTCAAATACATAACATAGTTCGGAATATAAACATGCATGAATAATTATATACTGGGAAACCTTCAAAGTGTAGCAAGTTAGTATCACATCCTGCATCTCTGAATGCATTACATTTAATAATTAATTATGAACAATTGCAGCTGAAATTCATGGCTGGTTTATTAAAACATAATTTGTCCTTATTGCAGGAAAACAGTACTAAACAATGCACATAGCTATGCATAGTGGAGCCCATATTCCACGATCACTATTTGGTACCACTGTGTGCTAACATTAGACAACCTTAAATTGATCAGCATTGTCTCACATAACATTATTTAGAACCATACCAGATCATTGAGAATAATTTTATTTGCCAAGAGCACATTAATGCATCACCATAATTGAATATCTATATAAATATAATAGTGCTGTCTGTCCATGTAACTACTTTGCAGGGTGTGGATGGATCTTCACCAAAATTAGTATGGAGGTTCATTAGGTCCATGTAGAGGTACATACAAATTTTCAGTTTTGCATTTTGCAGTTTTTATGGGTATTTTTTTTACCACAACTTAACACCCTGTAGGAGGATCTTCACAAAATTTGATATGGAGGTTCATTAGGTTCATGGGGAGATATGTACAAACTATCAATTTTGTGTTTTGGTGTTTTTGTGTTTCCACTCCCTGTTGATGGATCTTCATAAAATTTCGCATGACTATTTGTTGGGTCCATGTGGAGATACATGCAAACTTGCAGTTTCACATTTTGTGTTTTGCAGTTTTTATGGCCGTTTTTCTACAATTACATACAAGGGAAGCAACTTTTCATGTTCTAAGATAACCCTTCATTAATTTAAATAGCTTCAGTCCAGAGGACGGATACTCTAGCTAGTTTAAAATAAAATTAAAATCACAGATAACTATTATGTTTCTAAGTTAGTGTTAACTTGCCACATCTCTGCAGCCAATTAACAATTAATACCAAGCAGAAACAAAAAAGCATTTTTTAACATATATCTTATGAACCCTATCAGACTGAGGAAAGTAATTATACAGTAAATAAATTGCCATCAAAACTATAATTATAGAAACACACACACATATAGAAGCCACAAACAACAAGTAATGATAACTACACACCAATTTATTAACAGTACAAAAATTATCACAGAAAATACAAAAGAAAAGTGAATATGTCTTACAATGCACTAGAATTTTGCATGTTGGGTCCTTTGAATTATATAGAGCATGATGCCTTGGTTTCATGGTGCCATATAATTTATCAATGTATAACTGCTGTATAATAACCCAAATGTCTTGTATTATTCCTCACAATTCAGAAGAGCTGTTTGAACACTTTTTAAATTTTCTCAGTTTTTACATAAGCCCATTCAACTTAAAGATTGTTTATATCAGGACATTTTAAAAGTCATCGAATTTTATGACTGTGTCGCGAACATGAAAGGCAAAAAAAACATGAAGTAATCCCATAATACTTATTAATGGGTGTCAAGTGGCTAGACTGTAGTGGTAGCTCAACCTCATTCAAAACCTGGCAGAATCTGGAATTGTACAACAGTTCTGCAGTACGAAAAGAATCATCTCCTCTTCACCTCAAAATGGAAATTTGTAGGGAAGACAAGCTTTAGTAGCAAAATCTGTTTTATCCACTCTTGCACAGTTCCAACCCAACCAACACCTGATTCACCATAAACTGACATCAAGTGGATGGTAGGAAGAAGAAAATCCCCAGTGGGATGACATCTTCAGTCTAAAATCTGGAAACATTGGGTATGGTTCTTCCAGGCCATTGTAGGAGGAGGATACCCAGCCGTACAAAATTGGGAATACACGTGCTGCATCCAGTTACATCCCACACCAGATCCATCAGGAACTGACATCCAACAGACAGTAGGAAGAGGAACCACAAAACTGGGGTGCATCTCCAGTCTAAAACCTGGTGGAGTTGGGCATTTTTTATCCAGTCAACAGTAGCAAGAAGGATACCAGCCAGAACACGTGAGGACTTACTTAGCTGGACCATCTTCAACCAACACCTGACCCATATGGAACCACATCCAGAGGATGGTAGGTAGGAATAATATCTCAGCCTGAGGGGCAAACTGCAATAGATATATACAGACACACACACATACATATAGTCATGACATGGTGGAGTGCTTCAACCAAAACCTGGTGGTATCAGGAATTGTACATAAGGTCCACAGTAGGAAGGGCGTCACATCATCTACATGATTCTAATCATAAATGGGCTGTCTCCAACTAACTCCAGGCCCACTGGGAATGTACATCTGGAGGATGGTAGAAAGGAGGAATGCTTCA